CACATGAAATTAATTTAACACACAATATGAACTATGGACCATAAAAGAGATAGGATTTTTAACGGGCTACGAAGTGCACGGGTTCAGCTAGTATATAATAATAATAATAAAAAAAAAAAAACTTTTTTTTCTAACATTAAAATCAATATCTTAGTTATACCATACCTAAAACCATGTTTATATTAATACTGATTTTAATAGTTTTAATTTTCAAAGTGGATACCRACTTTTCTCCGGTGCTTCGGTCCTTYCCGACGATGTGGTTGAGACCATGCAGCGAACACTGATCACAAACGTCGTCCAAAATTTTCTTCCACACGTTAGCCCGGCGTCCGGCGTCAGATYTTCTGAGCTGGGACGATTTGTTCCGAAACCGGACATCGGCCACTCTCTTGGACATGGATGATGATGCTTTCTCGGAATATGACATTACCAAGACTAGAGTTGGTATTAACTTCTAAATGCCAATCAAAATATAATATATTAGGTATGCTCGTATTATTACTCACAAATTATTACCAAAATAAAAATAATTGTCCTCGCATAATATTATATGATATAACTAGTTTAGTTTAAATGATTATTTTAAAACACATTTAAGTATTATACCTACATACAATATTTACTTAGAATGTAATATTTAAAATAAAATAAATATAAATTTATTTTTCAATCAAAAAAAAAAATATATATAAATATATATTGAATTTTAGCACTAAAACGAAATATAAGCAAATATAGATTTTAAAATGCTCTCAATAAATACAAAAACYTTAAATTTACAAAATTAGCAAAAATTTTATATACACGTTACATCATTAGATCATGAAACTCAATTTAGTTTAATCTATAAATTAGTTATAATTTTCAAATTATCTAATAAAAATATCGCGGGATCCTGCAACTGCCCAAGTAATGGATCCTATGAGCAGAAAATGTTCACAATGTGATTTTTAAAACGCTTTTCACAATATTTCACGTCTACAAGACTAGCGCCAAAACTCWCAATTCAATAAATCTACTACTCATAAGTTTGTTATGTTTATATTTCTATATAGTTATATTATTATAATGTCACTTGTCATACTACCTATTACATGTCTACGTTATATAATAATAATAATAATAATAATAATAATAATTTTATACACAAGACACAATATTATGTCAGCGCCGTGGACGACGGCATATTTAATTATTTAACCTATATAACATATATATGTTTATTACTTAAAATGACAGTTTCGATATTCTAAGTATACTATATAACATCATATTATTATATAAATTATATGAATAATAATGTCAATAGAATATTTCATGTACGCATATTATTATAAAATTGTCCTAACATAATATCATTATGATATAGGTATCAATAACTTATTATATTTGGGCAAAATGGTTTTTAAAGTTATGAGGAGAGAGTTGGAAGTATAAGAATTAAGGATTTTGTTGGGTGACAAGCAGTTTAGTTATTGTTATTAAGGAGGTCAGGAGATTAGGGGATTAATGATGGATTTAAAYTAATTTATAAAATTTGACAGAGCATTATTCTCAATGGCGGGAAGTGGAATTCTTAGAGTGCTATGTTACCTGTAACATTTKCATAGTATCTACCCTGTGGATTTGACGGCAGATGGTTGACTGTTGAACTGTTTGACTGAGCTCAATGGTGAGTKGGCTAGTGTTTTTGATAATTTTGATTGAATTTGGTAGTGTCGGGTGGTTGACGGCAACGGTTTTGAAGTTTTTTATGCACGGACCGTGGCGGTTTTTTTTTACCCATTCGGGCCGGTCAAAACCTTTGCCCCCCTCTATTGAAAACTGAAATGACGCCACTGTGCACGGTGCAGCCTTTGTAGTTGGCTAGATGATTCTCGCTATATAGGTCGCAGGTGGCAGGAGTGTCTGGTGATTTGTCGCATGTTGACTGTTGAGGTGTGATGGTTTTTGGCGCATTTTATGCAGTGTGGGGCATAACACAGTATGCCTTGGTGTAGCCGTACGATTGACAGTTTAAACACTGAAGRAYTTCTCGGCGTTTGTGCGGTTATTTAACGTTGATTTTTGTATGCAAGAGTGACGTGACTTTAAAAAGATCTTGGTTACTAGAGTCCGGCTCAAGATCAACAAAAAACAATRGGAGATGGTTTTTAGTTAGATGGTGTCTAATATTTATGACCTGTCTAGTCGCGAAACCGATCTCCTTAATAGCTAAGGAGATWTCAGATACTGAGGTAGTGGTGTGGAGTTTCCTTRCAACAACTCTGTACGGTTTTTAAGAWTGGACCTGWTATGTGTARAACTCTGCATTATTTTCCTTTAGGAAATGGATTAGAGTTCTGTAGTCTTCARGTTTTTCAGTTTGGATCTTTAGGTGGGTGGATGACGATTTACATACAAAACTGTAGCGTCCAATTAGGTTTGTAAGTTCAGTGAGTACGTCTRTGAAAATTTTTACTCCTTTAATAAAAATGGTTGATCTCAATATTTTTTTCATGGTTGTGTGTGCGRTAGTATTCGTGGGTTCCTGGGTGGATGTTCCRTGAACATCKTTGTTATCAACATYATCRTCAAGATCGGCGAGTACCCTATAAAGATTATTAAATAGTTTTGATTTTTTTTATAGAAACATTCTGCGACCTAACCTAACCTAACCTTTTGTTGGGATCCGTTAATGTAAGATGTATAGCATAAAATAATAGTTATTATCCTCTGGAAGAGATTGTCAGTGGTAGCARCTACGAGTCAGTCGTCATTTATGTAACTGCAATTTGATGTGAATAGCTAAAAAGAAACAYGGCCAGAATCCATTAGGATTTGGTAACTTATTCTATACAGCACGGGAGTTGGCATAAAAAAATGCGTGTGCATCAAATGGCTGCGATGTCGCGACTTATCTACATAWTTGAATAATAATTACTTCAGTATGTATTGTTTTTTTTGTGATTGTAAAATAAAAAAAGTATATTAGTTAAAATATTTGTAAATGATACTTTGGGTAACAAATAGGTCTTCTTTGCTCAGAATCGTTTTTCATCGTATACAATGATTTATCATTTAATTCAAACCTACAAATACCTACTTGACATTTAAAAATATATATATATACACATCATGGTACACTATTAGTCTTGACAGATGACAATCAGGAAAAATATTAAAGTCTTAAACCGATCAAATGTCTTTTATGTCGTACTCGAATRGATCAGTAAGACCTAAGCCRTCGTAAGTCCCATCCCATTTACGTCTACGTCAACACTATTATAATAAAATAATAATAAATGATGCCTTTATTCTTTAAAGCAGGTTAAGTCAAAATATTTATATTATATAACGGGCTGGTACTGAACACAAAATAGATCTATATTTTTTATTACCTATGTAATAATACATAGGTCGTCGAAAAAACTCTTCGATTTTCTTACACGAGTAGATATCGTTATATTATTTTATTGTTATTTCAGATAAGTGATCTGATGTTTAGTGAATTGTCATAAAAATTTAAAGACTTATCCTATGCTGGACTTCTTTATAGCCAGGTGAAATAATAAACTTTGTAGTTGAAAGTGCATAACTTATTAAATACATTTTATCTGCGATTTGTGTTTTAAATCATTATACACYTATTATACACACTTATTTAAACATAACACTAATAAACAATAATAGGTACTAAGTGCGAATAATTTATCAATATGTTGTAACGTAAAGATAGAGTTATTATAAGATAAATTACAAGCTGATTATACTACTAAAATTAAACTTGAAAGATATTATTGTATGGACGTTTTACTGCAATCGTCCATTGACCAAGTGTCCGTTGCGATTAGATGTCCTTTTCTTTTTTTATTACTTTTCGATTTAACCGACTTCGGTGGCATCCTACGCCAATGGTAGTAAACTCTCCATGTCAAGAAATATATCAGTTCAATAAAACTTAACAGCGAACCGCCAAGGAACAGACCAGCACATCCGCCGAATGACACTGTGAACGGATGACAAATACATTTTAAAAGAATAWATTTTACAAATAATAATTAGAGCATCATTCAGTATTGYAAAGTAATTGCGTTAAACGATTTGTATACTTTTTAAGTATCTTMTCCAATACGTATTTTAAATATRTTCTTAAAATAGGTATCTGTATTTAAAATCAAATAATGATTTATTTATTTTTTATATTTTCATTCCAAATATGCAAAACAATTGATGTTGGTAAAATGATCTTCAAGATGAATGTAAAATATAAAAATTCTAAACAAAGTTTTAGTTGATTTTTTTTAAGCAAAAAAAAAAATGTATCTCAAATACTATGCACATTTTTCAAAACAAGTATCCGCATATGTATAGCTTGTGTAAGTAYTTGAATATTTTTAAAAATAACTTATATTTTACAAGACTGGCGTTTTATTAGAACGTAATAAATATCTCGAGTTGTCTACAGTTGTTCATTAGAGTTGTGCATTACTATACACTTGAGCAGTTTAAAATCTTTATACATTCTAATGTTATAGCCTCAGATAGTTGTTAAATCTTTGAAAATAGATTTATTACATCATATAATAGGTAGGGCTATATGGTAGGGCTATATGAAATATGATATTTTTATTCTCCCTTCCTTATGAATAAAAACAGTGAAAATACACATACATACTTGCTGGTTATTTCAAATAAAATTATTTCGATATAGTAATAATGTATTATACCATTTCAACTCTATTATTATTATTTCGTAAATTGTGTGTAGTAAAACCAGATCGATAGGAAACTAAAAAATGTATTGTATCGATTTTTCTACGATTCTATATAACTATGCAATCATCTTCTCTACGAGTATTTCATTTTATAAGCTTGATACAAAAAAACTTAAAGAATTTTTTTAGACAATTTCAAGATAGGTTTAATTCTCCATAGATCTACAGTATGAAAATACGTAAGAAAAATCCTTCCGAAAATAATAAMATTTGGAATAAATCAATATATTATTATGTATAGGTACCTATAATTAAGCTAAAAGGTTTAAAACATAATATATTGGTTATCCAGAAAATAAATTTTAAATACAATTTTATTGAGAAGTTTTCGTGATATTTTGTGACGTAAAATATACTGTGACGCAGTCTCTAATAATATTAAAAAATGATTTTTATTAAAAAAAGTACGTACCCAGCAAGTCGAGCCATCCGAGGATCAAGTCCGATCTGTACAGTATGCAAGCACTTTGTTTAAAGTGTAAATCAATGAGTATGGACGAAGAGGAATTCCTGAAACGGAATTGATTACGTTCAAAAATGATTGTTATTTAACTATTATGATTATAATTTCCTTGATTATTAACCGACTCACTCCTTCGACGAAACGGTCTGTTCGGCAATGGTCAGTTCTGGTATGTACGTTTGGTGCACGCAATCYGGCATGCATTCGCATTTCAATCCGGGCTTATCTTTCGAGAAAAACGACGTCTGAATAAACGGTATGTAATTGTTGAAATTTTCTGAAACACGCACGTATTATACAGTTGATAATACAATAATATTATAAAGAATATGGTTTCATTGACATGCGACATAATCTTACGGTTATTATTGGACAAACACAGTAAATCTTCTACGTTGCAAGGCCGCAATGAGTCATTGTCTAGCAGAAGAAAAAAAAAAAATGCCTAAATTAATTAATATGTTTCAGTGTTTTACATCGATTCGACAATCTATTTTACCTTTTACAATAGTATATGATTTGTACAATGTGTACAAAAATATTGAGGTAGTCTCAATCAACCTAGTTAATCCTAGTAGCCCCTATAATTACCACTTTACAAAAACTTGGCTTATTTAAAATTAGAGTATGTTTTTAAATAAATATGGATTAGAAAGTTTTTTTTCCAACGTAGAAATTCTTAATAATTTTTTCAAATGATTGAGCATGTTATGTGATTCCTATTGGATATTTGTCTAGGTAAATAGCAAATATAAAGTTCAAAATGSTTATTCAAAGTTTGATACTTTTGGAAATTAGTTTAATACGTATTTTAGTTTACTGTTTTTAAGTAATAAATAAGTTATAGATGAGTATTTATTTATTTTTTTAATTATGAGCTACGTTAGATAATATGGAAAAAATAAATACAAAAAAAATGAAAATAGTAAACATTAAATATAAATGTAATATGGAGTAAAACATTTGGTTATTATATTACAATATTTAGAGTATGCTGGGTAACAATGTCTGGTAATTGAAATTTAAGTATAACATAATACATTACAACTAATTATTCATAAAATTATAATAATTATAATTTATGACTGAGAATTAGATCATTTGTATTATATAATATATTTTTTTTAGAATAAATACATTTATTATAACTTCTTTAACGTCTAACAGTGGTTCGACTGATCGGTGCCTCATTGACTCCATAATTTGGTGTTATATAATTACATAGACGTAAAACGCTCATATATATGCAGACTAAACACAATGATGTTATCATTTGAGACGGTATCAAGCTAAGAATGATCAACGTTTCAACCGTTCCCATTCGATAACAAATTATAATGTAATTGGGAAATTTTTAACGTAAACTCATTCTCTATAATAGTTATTCGTTTTTGAATAAAGCGGTCAAGCGAACAAGTGGWAGTAAGTTCTTTATGAATTTTAAGTAGTCTTAATCGTTTAGGTATCTAAGGTATTGCGTTCTTAATCGTCAGTTCGCTGTTTGATAATTGGTATGTGGGTAGATTAGTTTTTTCCTGCAGCTACTTATCGTACAATAGTTAGACGTCAACGAGTCTTACGTTTCATGAGACCAAACATGGACTCCAGATAACAGCCACACTGACTGACCATGTAGAACATATAACACGCCGTTCTACAATTTCGTCTCAGGTAATAATTTGTGCCCATCCCGGTTGGACTTTCGTCGCCGAAATAACAGTTTCTCTGTTTAGGGCTCAGTCTCTTGGTCCTTTGCGTGTTGTATATCTGATATCCCCACACGTTTATGTTACCGAAGTTACCAGCCATCACGACCATGTCCGAGCCAAGCGGAGCGCCTTTGGGTTCACCCATCAATATCTGTTCGAATTTGGTAACGGTTTTATGGTTTATACCACCGAAATGTCATAAAAACATTAATTATTACAGTTACAGTGCTCTCATAAAAATCGATGTGTCAATTAACTTTTTTTTATTCGGTGTGAAAAACGAGTGACAAACGCAGAAACGATATACGGTTTGTTTCGTACGAGAATTTAGCAAAAACTACAACTAGAGTATTTATTTTTATATATTATTATATAATTTTCTAAAAATAATTTAAATAAACTCAGATTTAGAAGATTGAACAAATTTTCTTTGGGYCATCACTGTGAGTAGACGCATATATRCCATATATACAGTTTATACCATATATGTATACCTACTAGTGGCTTCACCCAATTCAGAAACATCTTAATGCTTGTAAATAGTATTGACAACTATGTATTTTACTCCATCATAAAACAGATATTAAATAGTAATTTACATTTTAATGACACGTTTTTTTWWAAAATTAAATCATTGGGGACTTCATTTCTTCCAAAAATATMAAGTTACTTAATTTTGCCTAYATAAATAATATCACAAGACCTTACAAAACTACGAATATTAGTTAAGCATAARTCTACAATGGTTTTTGTGTATTTTAAAATTTGCGTGCGTAGTAATCTACATATTTTATACAATTCAATAACATGCAATAATATAATACTCATATACCCGGACTGACGGTTTGGCGTTTACATTAGGAGCTATTTGTTCCGGCGACATTGTCGATATGTACATTCTGTGTCAACAAAGTTGTTTTTTCATCACATTTCGAATCGAAGTAATTGTGCGGAAGTAAAACAAAACAAATAAAATAGGTACACATTATTATATACAAATACTATTATCATTTTTAAAATATTATTAYACCTATATGGAGAATTATAGATATATAATATTATGACGTATATCCCAAAGCAATATCTGCWCTGTTTAATTTCCGAATAATATTATAATATTATTATTTAATATTAATATATAGGTATGAGTCCATTGCTGAAGATTGAGTCCAACTTTAGAGGAATATATTTAAATTAAATTTATATTCAAATAGCCAAACACACTTYTCGATCAACGTCATAAATACATATTTTACGACAAWTATCATCAAAAATATGTTCAACTTTTTAAGTCGAAAAAATAAAAGTTTTTAAAATGTCAGATTGTATGCTAAATCTATTAAAATAAAAACGGGCCATTTTATAAATTTTAAATGAATCTAATAAAAAAGCGAATA